TTCGAACGTAGACCGACTTGATCCAACCCCATTTTGTCATCCAGCCTGCTTTTGAGACTGCTGAAGTGTAAACTCCACCCCTGATCTTGATGTCAACTCGAACTCCAAACCATTGTTGGTCTTTGGCTGGCAGATTGCGATTCACAAGCCACAAGGTGCGGTCACGGTTTCCCCAATCCCTAGCTGCGCCGGCCAGAACATGGAGAAGTTCAGGATCCACCTGGTCAACCTTCGGCACCCCATCACTGGTCAAAAGGACCCACAACTCATCTTCCAAAACTGGACGTTGGTCTTCATCGTACCTGGACTTGGACAAGAGTTGGGGCGGCGGACGATTTGGTGGTGGTGGATGATCAGGAGTGCGCGGACTCACAGGCCTCGGCGGAGGTGGTGGAGTCTTCGGCATCGTAGGAGCTGTCTTTACTGTTGATCTGGTCGGACGAATCGGGCTCCTAGACCTAGTTGGCCTCTGGTTGGATTCTGATGTACCAGCTGACTTCCTCCTCCTCAATGGGCTTCGGGACCGTGGATTGCGATTTGCAAGCGACGTCACGGCATCTGTCAACCTCTTGAGGGCTTGCAAAATCTCTTGGCTTCCGCCCGAAGTCTCTTCCGCTGGAATCTCTGGCTCTTCAACCTCAACCTCTTCTATCTCTTCTCCAACCTCTTGTTCGTCCAACTTGATGTCGTTTTCATGGCTGTCATCATCATCAAAATCCGGAACCGGCCTCACAGGCGAGGTCACGGCAGCGCTCGGCATAGGTTTGCTCTTTCGAGATGCCACGGCGTCACTCGCCTTCGGCGGTCGTGAAGATGAAGATGGCCTCGAAAGTACTGGAGGGCAGGCTTTTGGTGGAAGTGAGCGGGCTTTTGCACTGGTGCTGCGAATAGCCTCTTCTCGCGACGGTGGTGGTGCTGTTGAACGCTCACTGGATCGCCACGGCACGTGGTCGTCCGCATCACCTCGAACAGCTCTTGGAGTGTGAACATTCTTTGTATGTGCTGGAGTCAATGTCACAGTTGTATCACCATAAAGCGGCCCACAAAGAGTGCAACGTCCTCCACACGACATCTCACGCCATTCAGGCGAGTGAGAATGGATCACAACACACGTGAAGCCTTTCGAAGCAAGGTGCCTGTGGATCAACATGCTTCCGCCCACAGAACGATGACGCCCTGACTTGCAGCGCACATCCAAAACTCCCTTGTCATGGTGCTCCACAAAGTCGTCCACCTCACGAAAGATGCGGTCAAGACCTCTCTGATCCCTCCTAAGACCATTCAAAATGGCCGGATGCCTTCCCACGTGTCCACGCAACGAAGGATCTTGGTCGGGATCCCACAGCGACTTGGCGTTGATGTACTTCACGGGGATATCACTGCCAACATGCTCTGACAACCTGTCTTCAAACCGGTCACCTCCTGTGACCAGCAAAAACTCACGGCTCTTCAAATTGCCAATGATGTTGCCAAGCGCACGATGGATACCTTCGGCAGTCTGGGCTTGGTACCCTCGCTCTGCCGTATCCAATCTCTCCATCGGAGTATTGAAGGCTGTGAGGGCGACACGAAATTTGCGATGACACTTTGGAATCTTTTGGGGCATGGTGGCTTCGAGACTTTGGACCAATTGTTGAGGGGTAATTGCCAACATCATCAAACCGGTGTGTATGCATCTGAACACTTTGAGGCGTTTTCCATTGATGCTAATGATACCATTCTTGAGGTCCTTTACTAGTCCCAAGTGTGCCTGTGCATGGAGAGACAAAAGCAGCGGAGATCGACCTTTTGACAGCTGGTGGGATTCAAGGACACCATGCACTGGATCTCCCTCGTCGAAATGCAACGAAAAGGGTAACGTGCGGGATCCTTCTGTAGTGGTCCCTTTTTCACCCAGTCCGGCAAAGTTCTTCGATGTCGTGGTCGAAAAAGGGAAGTCGTATCCTAGCTTCTTCAACTTGGCCTCAACAACGTCTCCCCAGTGCTTCGAATGGCAGGTGGAATTACATCCCTCGTCGAGAACGACGTAGATGTTCCCGTCGCATGGGCTGTACATGTCTCTGGCTTCGTGAAATATATGCACCAAACCATCTGTCATCTGGGTAGGTTCCTCCCCATGAAAACAAACGCCGATCCCTGCAAATGGGTCTGGATCTTCGGTGTAATCAACCATGGTGAACGAGTCTCCTTTGCTCTCTTCGATGGACTGGTGGAGGAGCTCGTGCAACTTGATCGAAGTCACGGCCTCGGTTTCGGCTGCCAACGCGACTTGGGCGGCAAATTCAGTCAAAATCTTCTCTAGCATCTCGGGGGTGTGTCCTTCTTCGGGTTCCTCTTCAACCAAACGTTCAATCATTGGGATCCTATCGAGCGGTGCGTTGACGACTTTCTCAGAGGCTGCCTTCCTAGTCTTTTGGAGCTCCATCGGAGTCTCATCCAAAAACGAACAACAAAGCTTGCAATACACACGGTGAACAGACCTGGAAGAACCTCGAAAATCGGTGTCCGAGTGCGGGCAATCGTCATATGCAAACTTCGGGGCTTGCTCTCTACGCTCGGTGGTGGAGTTCCCACAGACAAGGCATGTCTTCTTGATGGTGTATGCTGTGCTCCCTTGTTTGGTGAATTCGGAACAATTCTTGCATTTCTCTTTTGGTGGATATGGTGGTTTCTTCTTTGAGGACCCTTTTGGGATTGGCTGCAATGACGATGAAGAAGAAGCACCACCAACCTTCCTGAAAACTGAAGCTCCCCTGTATTCAAAATGCTGATCAACCCACGTGACGAAAGCCGAAGCGATTGGACTCTTGCCATTCTTGATGGCCCATTGGTGGTAGTCAGGATGTTCATGAAGGATCTGCCAAAATGTCTTCCCCCTGAACTGTCCAGCTAAGAACTTCCTATCGCTCCCCTCAGGCCTTACGAGATCGCTGGGACTCACTGGTGCTTCCGGACGAACTCCTGAGCTGGCCTTCACGGCCATGTGAGCAACGCTGTCGGTTGGAGACGCCGCACCTAGAAAAATCCCTTCGTCCTCGGATGAATCACTCATGTGGGCAATGTGTGCAGCAGGTTTCGGGGCCGATCCAGTCTTCGGGGCATTGGGCATCTTACATTGGGGGTCTCCGGCCCAGTGACCTAAACCACCACAACGAAGACACTTGGATTTCGCCTTGATCTCGGACAGTTTCTGTCGACGTTGCTCAATGCTAAGGTGAGACTTCACTATCTTACCTTTGCCTTTACCTTTCCCCTTGAATTTATCCTTGCCTTTGCCTTTTGCCTTCCCGAAAGCGACGAATGCGGCAAGCTGCAATTGGATAGCATCACCTGAGGAACGTTCTTCGGCATCTTCGCAGTCAACTACTGCATTCAAGGCAATTGCTTCATATTCATCAACATCATCATGGTACTCAAAATCTTCGTATTCAGGATGGCTAGCATGTTCATGTTCTTCAGACTCTTCAATCCCTCCTAGCATGCCTACGAAAGAATCTTCTTCATGATGATGCAAGTCCTCATCTCTCCAATCGAAATTGTCTTCCCAATCGGGATAGATGGCATTGTAACCAGCACGAGGGTATTGGCTACCTTTACCTTTACCTTGGTACCCCTTCTGGTACCCCTTGCCTTTGCCTACCTGAGGCTGAATTCCCCGTCCTGTCCAGGATCGGGACCCTTCACGAAGATGGATTCCACTGTAGTTGTCAACCAGGACTCGTGCAGTACCTTCGAAGTCATCGTTCTTGCGACAAGCCTTCACCACGAGGATCTCCTGCCTGGAAATACCTGACATCTCCAGCAATAGCTCTGTGCGGAAAGCTTCTGAGATCATCATTGTGGGGTCAAGCTCAACCAACAAGGTCCACCAACGTCGTCGACGTTGAGTGTACGACAACATGCTCTCTGTAGGCTGTCTCGACAGTGGTCCTCCATGCTTCTGTCCTGCGCGAAAAAGCTCCTTACTCTCCTCCAAGGCTCGAGGAAACACATGGTTACGTATCACCTCGATGAGACGCTCCAGTCCCCCTGGACGTGCAAGTGTCTCTAGACCTAAGTCTCTGGCAAGCAAAAAGGCATCACCTCTCAAACCTTCTACGATCTTGTTCACTAGGACACTGCGATCGGTGATACTCGACTTGTCTGACTTAACGGACGAAGCCTTCGGTGATGTTGCATCAACCTTCGACTTGGGAGTACCGGCAGTCTCACGCGGCTCGGGCTCAAACTCCTCGGGATAGTGTCCAGGCGAAGGGAATGCGAATCCTTCGTCTGACTCTGGTGGCCAAGGCTCCCCTTCGTCGGCAGGTCCAGTCACGGGATCCTGCTTCTTTGCTGGTTGCGTTTGGGCTTGGTCGTACAGCTTGATGCGGAGTTCGGTTCGAAATTTCCAATCATGAAATGCTGCAGGATCTCCCCAATAAATGTAAGACCCACTCTTGGTTTCCAGGGGGTTGCCTATCCTATCACCAGCGCTACCCGAATGGAACTTGAGTCCAGCAATGGACATGTTCGACGATTCCGACGGAGATTGCTCGGGCGAGCAATCTATTCCGGGCTCTGTCCCCAACGGGATCAGAGGAGGCAAGCGAAAGCACGCAAGGAATGCAAGCTCAGGCTTGATGTTCTACGATTCCAATGACCTGGATCAGTACGTGCCGGAGTCAGGCCGTCACCTGCTCCGCTACCAATGTCGGTAGCAAGCGGAATCGTACTGTCCACACGCTCTTTTCACTGCGAAAGCGAGCACGGTATAGCTCAAGGGCCCTAGGAGCCAAACGGCGGCAGACACAACATAGTGTGACAACCTGGCTCAACAGAATGAGATCCTACCTCAAATTCACACATGTGATCACTTGATCGGTGCCACAGTGAGATTCACTCCTGAAAAAATACCCATGCCCAAAAGCCAAACATAGCCAAGCCCTCTAAAAGCCCATTAGTACTGATTTCTGAGAAAAACAACGGCTGTTCAGTCTCTACGTCCCAGTCCCAGCCGCGTTCGAAGCGTGGACGGCTGCGCTCCAGTTCCTCAAGGCCTGGAGATGGAGGGCTGGGCGGTCTGGGCAGTCTGGGCGGTCTGGGTGACATGTGGTTTGCTTCAACTTCAGGGGGTGTTTCCACAGCTATTTGTCAATGGTGCCTTGTTTACTTCTCCATGTCCAGAGTCAAAACCAAGACCCAAACCCCGTCTTGCTCCTGTACGCTTTGTGTTCAGGATCTCACTCTCACATAGACCAGTTCTTGCTCTGTTGGTGTGCCTTACTCTTCCCCAACGGTCACCCCAAGAAGAAAGTGAGTCTTAAGTGTTTGAACACATCAGTCACACATGAAGTTGCCCCATTGGAGGATCTCGGCCTACGTTTGCAGCATATGGGAACCCGTTTCTCCACAATCCTTTTCGGTGGACCACCTGGCCTCCGAATGAAGCACCTGGCAGTTGGACTCTTGGAAGACTGATCACGGCCTGGCCCATGGCCCAACCCCGGCCCAACCTCCGAACGATCCACGTCCCTCCCGTGACCGCCTGGCAAAGGCACCGCCGTGCGACCGGTCGGCGCCTCTGCGGCGGCGAAGCTCGGGTGCCGCAGCAGCACCAGGTCTGCCGGTGACGCAAACAGGGTGTTCAAGGCCAGGAACCCCCTAGTAGCGTCCTTGGTAGTAGCAAGGCCAGGAGCTACTAGTAGCGTCCTTGTTCCAGTGTTTGGGGAATGGTGAGAGATCCCACTTGCTTTGGGAACGACTTGGGAATTAGAGGGGTGAACCGTCAGACAGTTCGCGAGTGAGTGTGGAACAACTTGGGAATTGTTCGGTCCGGACTTCGAGCCTGAAACGAAACTAATCCCCCAGTCAAGGCGTTGCGCTTTACTGCACCGTGTGTCAGTCAAAGTGAAAGGGAACTGTGGGGTTTTTGACTTTGAAGGTCCATAAAAGCGACCCCGGATTTAGCTGCCGACGGTGATTTCGCTGTTGATCACATCGGTTATTCTCCGGATTCTTTGCTACTTGGTCAAGCATCATGATTCGATGCTTTCGTGGATAGGGTGGCTCACGTGTCCGAAAGAACTGGAAGTGGAATTCTGCACTTCCACTCGCTGAACGATCATGCCGATCATGCGGCCTCGCGATCACGACCTTCGTCAGACGGAACCCGTCAGTCGCGAAGGCGGCGATGCCGACCGTTCGGACCGTTGGCTGAAAGCCTCGGATCGACCTCTTTCGGATCACACGTTGAAGCGAAAAACATGACACGCTGAACCGAACCCGGCGGCTGGGACGGCGGGATCTTCTCTTGCCTGGGAGGCGTCCTTCACACGGGCGTCCCTTGGGAGTCACCTCCTCCGCGTGTGCCTGGAATGGTCTGCCAGAGTGGGCTCCCAGGTGCCCCGTGGCCTTGGGAGTTGATTTTTGGAACATCTTCAGTGTTGAGTCTTTTTATGGAGGACGGCTGTAGAATCCATTCATATGTTATATTCATGTTTGTTCAATCATTGAAGTCCAGTATATCAAAATATGCCGAAGGGAACATAAGGGTGGCCAGGCCAAAGTGTCTGTCATGATGTCAAAATGTTTTTTCATGTGATCTGATGGATAGTCCAAACTCCTCTTTCTCCCCAAAGGCGAACATGCCACCAGACCCCCACGCCTCCCTCAGTGACGAAGCCGCGGACGCTGGCCGCCTTCAACCACGTCGGACAAAGGCTTTGCAACTTGATATAGCTTGGGCCCTGACATTCGGTATACTATGCATACTATATACTATCATACTATACCAGGTTTACTACCCGAAGAAGCAGTTCATCTTGGAGAAAACATCTCAATGTTTCCAGGTCTTCCAGGACTCTTCTGGTCCGACTTGAGGGTCCCTCAATACATGAAATGGCCAGCATATGAGATCGGTCACACTTGGTCAACAATGCTCAGTATCGCAACGACCTGGATGAACTCCATCCTCTTTGTGTTGCGGTCTTCGTGTATATACCCCAAGTTCGTTTACTCATTCAAAAGGCAGAAGGAATGGACTTCCACAGTGGCCGAGCTCGCCCCATTCCCTTGGCTCCAGAAGCGTCGCCTGGCGCGGAGTCTGGAGTGCTTCGCGCGGCTCGCATCGGGACCGAGCACCTGGCCGGAGAATGAAAGGACGGATGTGGGAAACTACAGTAGCTTCTTCTTACTACTAGTAAGGCACTTGTTACTACTAGCGTGGCACTTGTTCCTACTAGCTTCTTGTTACTACTAGTAAGGCACTTGTTACTACTAGCGTGGCACTTGTTACTACTAGCTTCTTGTTACTACTAGTAAGGCACTTGTTACTAGAAGCGATGCACTTGTTCCTAATAGCTTCTTGTTACTACTAGTAAGGCACTTGTTACTACTAGCGTGGCACTTGTTCCTACTAGCTTCTTGTTACTACTAGTAAGGCACTTGTTATTACTAGCGTGGCACTTGTTCCTAATAGCTTCTTGTTACTACTAGTAACGCACTTGTTACTAGAAGCGATGCACTTGTTCCTAGTAGCTTCTCGTTACTACTAGTAATTGACCAATTGACCTTGTTACCGTTGTTACTTTGCATGTTGCAGCTTCTATATAGGGTTGACACATCTTATGAGCAAGAGGGAAGAAGCTCGGCTGCAGCAGCTGGAAATTGCCTGCTGACTGAGGCCAACATACCCGAGGGTGATCCACTGATCTTTTGATCTTCAAAGCTCACCTTCATCTTTTGTTTTGTCACCGTAATCTGTTATATTTTCGGGAGCCATCAACCAAGTTGCAGCCAACTACCCCAAATGGCCGACAAACTTGAAAGGGACAATATAGGAACAAAATGCATCGGAGATTTCTGAGCACAAGCTACAGTGATCCCTGACAAAGAGAACGGTTCGGTTTGAGTATGATGACCTTGCAGGGTTCAGCCACCAGCCGCAAGGATGGTACTGGTGCTCTTTCGCATCCCGACACTCACACTCACCACGATGGCCCAGAGCAGCCGGGCCTTTGGTGGCCTGGATCGTTCATCGCGACGCGGTGCCAAGCATTTGGCCGGAGACCCCGCACTGCTGGGGCGTGGCCGAAGAAACGCCATGGCACGGCACTGCGCGAGTCGCTCTGGCAGTCTGGTGCGTCGTCTAGTTGGTGTGCGGCGTATGGAGTGTGTGTTGAAATGTATGTTTGTTGGAATGCTTGAGTGTGGATCGGCTGAATGGATTATGATCTTTTGATTCTTTTTGCCGTTCTCGGTTGCGTGGTGTTCAGAGTTAAATGAGTTTAGAACATCAGTCTGACTCACGTAAGTACATCAGACTGCACCCTTTGATCATGGCTATTCAGATCTTCTGAGAACCACCTTCTTCGTCCAAGCGCATCGCATGTCGCTTGCAGCGTTGCATCGCATCTCGGTCTCGTTCTTCGAGACGGAGGTGAAACGTCCCTGGCACGGCGCGGTGCGATCAAAGCATTTGAGTCGATGGCGTTCGAAAGCGCCGGCAAGTAGTCACATAGTTTCCACCACAAACACCTGTCAAGCTGGAATAAATAAGTATAGTATAGATGTTTGTTTGTCCACGAAGCCAGGCCGTCTATGCCAAAGGTCGCAGACTATCTCAACCTCAACTGATGTCTCTCAAACCTGTCATCGTAAGCACATGATGCAACTAGTGCTTTGCAACTGTCTATGCACTATTAGCATCATTAAACATATTGACTCCTTGTATACAGTTGGGCTCTTCTTCTACCATGCCCAAACACCTCTGAATCGAATGAATCTGCAAGGCCGCTCATGTTGAGGACGTCAATCTTCCAGTACAGTGCTTTATCCATTTTTCAACAAGTAGCTTTATGGGTGGTGGAGACCTTCAGCCAAAAATGAACCACGCGAAAGAAGGATCCAAGGTCTCTGTCATCACTGTGCTCGAAGCTGTCACTGGCCTTTCGGCAGTGGCGAGGCTTCGCCAGTCGCTGAGCCTCCTCACCGTGGTGACTTTGTTGCTGGAGGAAGGCCTACAGCGGCTGAACGATATGAAGACCTGGAGCCTCAAGCAATGGATTAATCTGATGATTCAGCCAGTGTGTGAGATAAACATCATGATCGTGCCATTGCAGTGGCGATCATAGGCATGGCTCACTTCAACTGGCAGGTATCGGAGGCGTGCGGTCAGTAGTGCTCAACCGTGGCAGATGAGTTGGTACTGAGAGGAGGGCCACACATCTTTTTGCACAAGCACTTGGAAACACTCAATGGGATCATGAAAATGTGTTCCAACAAAGCTACGCAACATATTCAACGGCGTTGAATTTAGACCCGGCAAATAGGTGCCTGGTCTGAATGGCAAACACCATGGAAACAGTGATCTGCGAGGTGTTGTTTTGGTCCGTCTTGATGTGTTGGCATTTTGATGAGTAAGGCGATTTGTCAATCAAGAAAAGCAGAAACGCCAATAGGCTGCGAGGCTGGACACACACCCACGAAGGCCAGTTAGATGATAGTAGGGAAGCCCCGGGAGCACACACGAACTGACAGTGAGTTGTTATGAATAGAAAAACAATATCCTTTTTGTGGGCGTGTCGTCAAAGGCTGCATGCCCTTCACTTTCCTTCCTTTTGCTCGAGACCCCCATTCAACCTGTCTGGGAAGTCATGGGCACGGTGAAAAACACATTCAAGATCCTTTGAACCTCTCGAAAAGAAAACACATCAAAAAAAGAACACCAAAAACAACATGAAAAAACAACACACGAAAAACATGAAAACATGATTCTCATCTTGCCATGAATCACCTGGGCTAGAACACTTCTCACCCCGATGGATTCACCTTCATCCCGCCGGTCCCACCATCGCCTCTGGCAACCACCTCGGACGTGATCGTCATCCCGAAGCGTCTCACCTTCTCCCAGAATTCGATCGTCACTCCAATGAGGTTTCTTCTCCCTTTCTTCTTCTTCTTCTTGTCTTCCTAGCCGACACAGCGGACATAGCCTCCCCCTTTGTATGAAATAGCAACCAAGCTACGGCAGGCTGCTGGAAGATCGGGGCGAATGTGCCCAGCCCGGATGTGCCCGAGGACGCGCTGCTCGGTGTAGGGGCAGTATACCCGGCGTAGCTCACGTAGCCTGGAACGGTGACTTGGTAACGCCAAGAAAAACCAAGAAGAGGAACCACGTCACACAATTCAACTCAATTCAACAACTCAATTAACCCATAATAACCCTACATGTTGTTTTCGTGATGACAAACACTGGTGGACGCGCCCAAGAGCGGCCTCCAAATGGAGAGCGAAAAGATTTGCCTCTTGGTCTCTTAAGCTCTCTGTTCACTGATCGACAACAACAAAAGAACGCACATATACATCCGAGTTGTCCACTAAAGAAACACATGTCTAAGGTCTAAGGTTAGATGTGTTTCTATTGACATTCATGGACATTCTGAAAAAACAAGGGGAATCGGACATGAATGCATTTGAAGCATGTTTAGACCTGATGCATTGATCACATGAATTCCCTCCCAATGACTCGCATCCTTCTCCGAACTGCACCTGCCAACGGGCCAGACACTCCACCCTGCCAAACCTCGGGCACGGACGTAAAGAGCCGCGAAGGCCGTGGTCTTCGTTGGACGAGTTCAACGAGGTGAAACGAGGGGAGGAACCCTGGAACGACCGATGTCCTTGATTTACAATGGAGATGAAGCCTCCAAAGGGCCGACCTCGAAGGTCGGTGTTTTTCTTGCGCTGTGTTTTGCTGGTCAAAAAGGAACCCTTGACCGACATGTAGAACATCTACCATTTGTGACATCACGATCCTTTCTCTAACTTCTACACGAGTTTCGCAAAAAACAACCCTGTGAATGACCAGAAACCGACTTCATGTGATCAGCGGGTCGCTCGAATCCCATTTTCCACCCACTGAACTGCGAGACTCGCTGATCTGAACCCCCAGAGTCTCCGGTGCGGTTCTGATCGTCGGGTGTGTTGAAGAAGCTGCTCGACTCTTCCAGTTGGGTACCGGTGACGGGTCCTTTTTCAGGTCGCGTAACCACTCCGACAAGGTATAGTCTATGAGGTGGAATTCAGGTCTACCGCCGACTCCGATACGGTTTCAGAATCGATGTCAGGCTGTTTGACATCGTTTTGTTGCTACTAATGATGGGGTACTGGCCGGGAATCTGTTCAAAACGTGTCAACCCAGGGCTAATGAGTCATGGCCTTGGGCTTGGGGGAATGAGCATTCAATTGTAACCTGTTTTGGTGTGAAGCAGGGTTACATGCGGTCACCCCAAGCTGCTATCCCAACTGATCTCTCTGCGCTACCATTAAAAATGTTAGCACTGGGAGGATCGTTATGAACAAGGATGAAACAAGAAGTTAGACTAGTACTTGTACCTTGAAGCGTTCCAAGAAGCTACTAGGAACAAGTGCAACGCTTCTAGTAACACGTGCCTTACTACTAGTAACAAGAAGCTATTAGAAACAAGAAGCTACATTAAGACTAATGGGCATCATGGCTTGGCCTCGGCGGCCTGGGTCAGGGAACAAGCAGCCGTTGGACTCCGTTGGACCATGACAATCGTCCTCAACGCGTTGATCCCGTCAGCAAGCATCCTGGTGCAAGCACCACATCAAATACTCAGCATTGATCGGTGATTGGAGAGGACAACGACATCATACCAGTCGATTCGCGGTGGCACACCATGTCGTACACTTTCTGAACTCGACTCATTCGCTTTCTCGAGCTAGAGCCCTTTGACTTCCTCGAGCGTAAAACTCAGCTGTAAGAGAACAACCAGTAAGTCATATAGGACCATAAGTGGTCTACCGAGTCTACCGTCTACCTGGAACGACCCTTCGCACTTTCCGTCACCGGGCCGAGATCCCCGGCGGACGGTGCCAACGGAGTGACCATGGCCATGTTTGAGCGAAAGAATCCACTGACTGTAGTAACTCTAGTATGTAAGTATAAGTATATGTAGCAACGCTATGTAACGCTAGCAATTATGTAACTGCAGTAACTCTAGTATTTGTTCAGTTGTGTACATTGGGTTATACAATGAGTTGGTTGGAAAGCATGTTTCAAGAGGTATAAGTGGCAGCAAAGTGCTGTCCTTTCTCTTTTAAATCCACTTTGCCACTTGTTGTATTCAGTTCAAACTGCCACCAACCTGGTGTAGGTTGTTTCTGAGATGCCTTGTGGATCCCTATAGTGGATCCTGGTAGCTACATGTGGGTGAAACCTTGCGATTTTTTGCTCTTTCCATTAAGACTCCACAGATTTCTGTTACCAACACATGATCTGAATTTCTGTAGGTCGGACCTCAGTTCATCGGACTTCCCTCATCGCTGGAGGTCCGAATCGAGCCCAAGAAGGGACGGGCCGAAGATGGCCAAATCCGGAATGCACATGAATCATGAAAAGCTGGTCTCGTTTGCCTGGGTTTTTGTGGTAGAGTCAATGCCAGAAACATACAGAAACCACATCCACAGCTCTTGGCCTTTTTATGCGTGGAATGTGGAAACAGTGGGATGGCTGGTGCGGCTGGTGTCTGATTTCAAGTGTCCACGGTCACAGCGACATGCTTCGTAGCCACGCCAGTGATGAAGAAGAACTGGGTTCGATCTAAAAATAAGTATCTCTAAGCCATGCACTTAGTTACGTTCGTAGCGTCCTCTTGTTACTAATAAGGCCAGGAGCCCCGTTCGAGTCGCGTCCGATCGCTTCTAACATGTGAGCGCAGAATCGGAGGCGCCCCTTCTCTGCCCCTCCGTGTGGGGTCGTTCCATGTATCGATGAAGCGAGATGAAGCACCGTGGTCGCCATGACTTCTCCCTTGGTTCGCCAACGATGACAGGGACACCAGCGTGGTCTTTGCTCAAGCCCCGGATCCCAGGACCCATGCACCCAGCACCCATGCTTCGCCCAGCACCCAGGCGGTATCTTTTTTGTACATGTGCAACACCTGAGCTGACCCCCACAGGATGCGCATCAATTCGTTCCGAATCTTCAAACGTAAATGGAAGGAATTCATTCCACCTCTTTCAGATCTCGCCCCAGATGAGTGGTCTGAAGCGACACCTGAGCGCCGCTGGAGTCCGGTCTGAACACTTTCACCTAGCAATGCTGGCCATGGAGCGACGTGATTGGCCGCAGGTTGAACCCCCTTGCGACGTGCTGTGATTGTCAGTGAACAAGAAGAGCCAGAAAGGTTCCTTAGTTAGATCTATTCCTACAAGCCTCACTTCTTAGGCAATGCCTTTTGACATGGTAGAAGACTATCAGACTTTATCAAGTCTTTCCAAAAAATTAGTAACATACGGTTACCGTATATACCCCAAAGCTTCAACCAGGTAAGACGGACGCGGACGCGGTTTGCCCAGGCGGTCTCACGTCTCACTCCTCGGCCTCGCGGCCTTCTCAGTCGGAGCCGGAGGAGGCGCTCAGCTGACGTGCCTGGCACCGCCCAGCGACGGAGCACACGTGGGGGCAACAGTGAGTGGGAAACGAAGTATGGCTTGGCTCCTACAATGATCCTGACAAGGACTGCTTTACATCTGACAAGGGCACCAAACTGGCATGGCAGAAAAAAATACATCTGAGTTCTTGCACAACCCTCTTTGGGTCAGTCATTTTACCGAGCTCAAACCATTAAAAACACTGAGGTCTTGTGCCGAAGTGTCTTGTGGTGAAATGGCATCCCTTGGGTAAACTAATCCATTACCATTGCATTACCAGCAACAGTGGATGATGATTAGTACAGGCCTGTTCCAGGCCAGTTCAAACTTAGTGGCAATTGCTTTACCGACTTTTGCTGAAAATGGGACTTCAACGTTCTGCTGCTCAAGACACTGCTGCCAGGCCACCCGTGTCCGACGCAGGAGAGGGCACTGCTCGCTGGCCTGCACCGGCGATGTGTTGTTGACCAACCTTTGGATGTTAAGATAGGTCAAGGTACGCAGAAACCCAGGATGACTGATTACTTTCCTGGCTTTCCTCTACAATATGAGTCTGTTTCTTCCATGTTTCTTGAAGAACACATAGAGAGGCTTTCCGAACACCCGTACGAAGATGGAAAGGTCTATAGTATGTCAAGAGTCTGTACATTGACGTAGCCCTACAGCTAGTTCATGCAGGGCACTTGGGCCATGCAACAGCAACTATGTGGACAGCGACCAAAATGACCAAGCCTGAAATCCAGGATCAAAGGCATTCTCCCTACTCATAGGCAAACATCACATTACCTATGGCAACTCACTTTGAGCCGTGATCACGACTTGCAAAACATATAAATTATTTGATCTTCCTTAACAAAAATCTAAAAGCTATATAGAGAGAGAGAGAGAGCAACTTTAATCTGCAAGGCCGAGCCATAACTTCTGCAAGATGATTCCGGCTGAAAGCACCATCAATGGTACTTTTCGCCAACCTGTCGACTCACTCACTGGTCCTGGCCTCATCAGCTTCCTCTTCTCGCGACCTCTTCAAAGAGGCCTTTCATGTGAGTGAGGCGTTCGTAGAGGACCCACCAAAAGTAAGGTCTGGGGTGCAAGTTTGACATGGCTTCCAGCAAAGCGTGCGAGCTACTTCTTCCCAGCTGAAAGGACCAGAAGTGGCCCAACATCTTAAGAAGTTCTGTGGGTTGATCAAGTTGCAGCAGTTCACTGTGGGTGTTCAAAATCCTCAGCATCACTGTGAAATTGCCTCCTGAACCCATAATGGACAATGGTATGAATCATGCAGGATATACATAGTTTGTGGATGAGTCTCACCTACCGAAAGAGCTCGTTGGACCCCATCTCCGAAGAAAAAAACTGCCTTGGCCCCACTGCCCACCCTTGGCCTCAGCTTGGTTCACCCAATGCTCCAGGCGTGCCAAGGAATTCGGCGAGGAACTCGGCCCCTCACCAATGGCTGGGAGTGAACAGCCAGCGATCTAGAGATGCTTTTCCAGTGCTTGTGGCTTTGAACCATTTTTTCAGCCCCCCCACCCGCCGCGACTTGAATGAATACCAAACAGCTGCATAAAGGAATTATACAGGTCTTGGCCTATCCCATGTGGTCATGTGCTTCACAAGCCTGAAAATATCAGGTCTCATGTCTTTTGACGTTTCCAGGATCATTGTAATTCCATCCATCCTATTCAGTCTTCCCCTCCCGCATCAAGCCTTCTCCTTGCATTTCGTTCAAAACGAGAGCGGTGCCTCTGTACATTTTCTGCCGCCCTTTCACATCCCATCGCACCTGCCATTCTTCAGTGGAGTTCTCCCGGAAGAACGATGCCTCCGCCAAGCGTCGAAGGCTTCCAGTCCCTTTCGACGCTGGGCGACGGACGACACGTCGCAGCGCGTCGCGGCACGATCGCGCTGCGGCGGCCGCCTCCGTGGATGGCGTCAGTTCGTCGCGGGTGTTCGGCTCCTGGCTCAGCTCTTGTGCGGCAACAAGACAATCTCCCGACACCCGACGCGTGGCGGAAGAAGATGTTGGAGGGTAGCTGGAGGGTAGCTAGGGGCATGCAACTGTAGACCAAATGCAAGATGCAACTAACTGTGAATAGGTGATCATCAACAGTGCTTTGAAACTTTTGCAGAGCTATGCAAAGCTTTTGTCTTTCTGCCACAAAACGGAGCGCAAGTGGTTGCCACTTCACTGTTGGTTACCCGTTACCCAACGAGAGCACTGCCAAAACAGCTGTCTGAGAAGTTGGACTAGGCCAAGTCCAGTCCAGTAGCAGGCCTGTGTTTCCCATTGCGAAATATTTGGAGGTACATTTCAGGAAGGTAGAAAAAACCATGCAGCTACACCAACTCTACACCCCATCAACTGGTCCAGTCAGGCTACCCAAGCCATCCCCTTCGCCCCCCATGCGACCATGCGACCCTAGGCGCCGAAGGCTCCGAAGGCTCCGAAGGCTCCTGGGACAGAAGCGTCAGGCGGATCAGCGTCAGGATGGATCGACCCACATCCCACCCGGCACACTAAAATAGATTTATCAACAAACATGTGATTTATCAACAGGCGGATCAACGGTTGTGCGTAACGTCCAAACTTTGATTCATACTGGCACGGTTCAACGACATTGGAAATGTTCTAACTGGTGGAGAGCGTTGAATGAACTGCTGACACAGCGAAGATTGGCTCATCCAGCTCCACTCGAGATCACGTGGATTCCCGCACATTTGTGCGAACACATTCCAGATCAGAAGCTTGATGAAGCCACAGCTGCGGCCTCCGGCTCAACGCTCCTTCACGTCCTCCGCAACAGGGATGCGGACCGGGCAGCCAAGCTTTGCGCTCAGAGAATTGCTCCGGTTTTCTTCCACATGCCTCAAGTGATGGGTGCAGCTACTGCTCTCCACCAAGAATGGCTTGTGCGATTACACGCTCACCTTGACACGGGGAACGACGACGAAGTGAAGCCAGACCATATGCAGGCACCTCCGCAAACCGCTGACTCCCAAATTACTTTGGGCGCTGCAAAAACGATGTTTCCCATTTGGCACTGGCACCCCCACAAATCGCATTTTCTGTGGAGGCCAAAGGTTCCGGCCCTTGTTGAGATGCCTAAAAGATGGCGTTATTCAGCCAAAGATTGGTCAACAATCTGCAACTTCGTACGCGGCCTACGGTGGAGAGAAGATGCAGATGGAGCCATTTCTTTTTGCGAGCTTGCCGTCCTTTTTCATCATACCGGATGGCGATTTGAAGCTTGCTCTTCTGCTTTGCAAATTCATGAAGTCACATGCAAGCTCCGACAAGCATTTCAATATTTGCTGAAGGACCCAAAGGTCCAAGTTTGCCCTGGAGAATTTTCAGCTACCTTTGTAAAGTCAGCAGGCCGGGTGTTGCCTCAAAGTGCCATCATCCGCGCTTTTCCTTTGATCGAAGATCAAACTCTTGTTTATTTGGCACGAACGCTTTGTTCGGGTTGTGGCCGCACAATCGAGTCGTGGCGAACCCCTTTTCTCTCGCCGTAGTTAGGTTTTCTTGTGCTTTGTGCTGTACAGTTTGGGGACTTCTCATGATCAGATCAGAGTATCTGTCATGACATCGACGCGGAATGGACCGTCCGATGAGTGGGTAATATATAGCACATACTTGGGATTGCATATATGCTTGGGATGTAATATAGGCATAGCTTGGAATATGACATCCCAACGTTTGAGAAGAACTGGACCGTAGATTAAGTTATGATTTAAGTGCATAGGATGAAATCTTCATGAGAATTTAGGCCAAACAAATAAACACGGTTCGACACAGACTTTTTTGTGTACCTTTTGCAAAAGGTGGGGAAGAACAAACAAACACTATAATGGCTGAATGAACCAACCTATGCGCTGTTTGGGGTAGCTGCCTTACCAATGAGCCTTTTGCAAAAGAGCAGCTATCGCCCCCATAGCATTGTGGAAAACGGAATCGAAGTGATATGCCGGTGTGTTTGTGTGTGTGCTCTCATGTATGTGCTCTAGAGATCTCTAGAGTGCAAAAGTTCCACCCTTGTTTTGTTCTATTTAACACTGTTTGGGGTTTCTGAAGCAGATTTTATGATGTCTTGTTAGGGATATCCCATCTGATTGGATCAACTCTGATGGCTCCTGCAAGCAGGCTGCCATGAGTTCTGCGGATGATGCCTCACTGCTGGGCTCCTGGATGGCTTCGAATCGATCACCTCATGCACCGACTGGTGGTACCGATTGGCCGGAGAGCCAGCTTGGGCCACAGTCAGTCTTACGCTTCGGATCCAACAGCTTGCATCCTCCAGGTGGATGGAGGCCCAAGACCAACCCAAACAGTAGGATCATCTCCCAAAACCTGGTGGGTGTGCAACTCTTTTGGTACCTTACCATAGTAGCAGGGTACCTTTTGGTAGATATCAAATACACTCAACCGGTAGATATATGTAGATATCATGTAACTAGGCACCAGCACCTGTTCTGCCAGGCACCGGAATCGGTGGGACCTGGATGCGCATCCCCTCGTCCTCCTTGGGCGCATCTTCGCCAGCCAACCAGAGGTGCACCGGAATCCCCGGCAGTATCAAGGTGGCCTCCGGGTCCTCCACGTGAGGATTTTCACCACGTCGCAACGTAGCAATGGTGGTTTCTACGTAGGCGCACGTTACTGGGGTGCATAGGCAAAAAACGAGAAGAGTCCTACTTGGAGATCTTCCACTCAGAATTTAGATCCTTAGGTTTTAGGATCAACAGCGGAATGTGCACCAGAATCAAACCCATGTGGCGCTCCCGCACGTCAGTAGCGGCAGCGACCACACCGAGCCCATGGATGCGAGGCCAATCAAGGAGTGTAACGATGTCGGCCATCTCTAGTAGGTTGGAGGCCATCTCTAGTAGGGTGGAGGCCATTCAACATCACTGAATATCCCTACTATCACTACTCCGTGAGAAATAATGAAATGCCCTAACGGCCCTAACACAAGACGATGTTTTAAATTGAAAACACTGAGGAACACAGTATAGTTTCAGAGTAGATGGTACAATTCCTTGGACTCTTTGACTCATTTGTGAAAACACTTCAGAGATTCATTCGCAACCGCCTTGGGAAGCCCTCGACTTGAAAGCTGCCTAGCAGTGCCTAGCAACAAAAGCTGCCCCAACAAGTGCTGAGGACATGATTGCAAGAACCACAATGCTGAGGAGATTTTGCAAGACACGAGTGATGAGGAGATGTCTGCCACCCAAAAAGTGATCTGAAAGACCCTTTGAAAGACCCCTTTCTTCCCACTTTACCGACCCTTTGAAAGAACCGAAGACCCCCGCTGTCGCTGTCCTCCTCCCGAGCCAAAGACGGTGCGCTCTCCAGCTGCGTGGGCCACGCGCTCTCGAGCACAGTGAGGTTGGCCGTCTCAGGCACCTGGACATTCCGGACATGCGTGAGAAACTCGTTAAAACCCAGGTGCCTGAGGTAAAAGGTTAAAACAAAGACTTGGTTAAAAACACCTACTTAGTACAAGATAATACAAGATGAGCCACAATTGATTGAAACGAAGGACCTGAGACTCGCGCCGTCATGGTCAAGGAATCTGGCCCCGCGATGGCCGCGCGGCAGGGCGTCGGTTGTGGTCGGCTCATCTGCCAGCGTGTTCAGTGAGACTGTTTGAACTGAAGGTGTAAATCTTCTCGACCAGTCTTAGGTACCAGTCTTATAGGTGCATCCAAATCCCTTGAAACATATCTCTGCATCTTCTTCGCTGACTGCCAAAATGGTCGTCCGAACTAGCCTGAACTCCAGAAACTGGCTCTGGTCATTGCGATGAAGGCTAAGGCAATGTGTTTGACTGGATACAACACCACCTCTGCCTGTCGAGACCCCCGCGAGAGGTATCTGCCTAAATCTTCAACAATATGAACATAGATTAAACGCAAACAAACCACAACAAGGACTCCTGAGCGTGAAGGAGCACATAGCAGCCACAATTCATGGCTTTCAGGATTGCCCAAAAGCTTGGGTGTGGCAAACAAATGAAACGCCTGGTACTTGGAAAGAGATGGAAAAAGAAGGTTTCTCAGTTACTCTCCTCAGTCAGCAACGACCCAAAAACTCTCCCACTCTTCGCCGTCGGCTTAAGCGTGCTGTGCGCGCCCGCGTGCTCGCATGCAGCCCGTCTTTGAGAGTCCTTCAACTGAAAGCCCTATGCCCTGTTTGGCGCTCTCGGCCCCATATCAACTCCAATCCAGTTCGGTCCTACTCACCCAAGGTTCGGGTCGGGTCAAGACGCCCCGAACGGGTCGGGTCCGTCCTGTCTTGAGCCTTTGGGTTTAGTTCGGTCTGCTGAAGTAGTACCAGTAGTGCCCCTTCACCATGCCGACATGATCCGCCGCTGGCCCTATCGCACTGTCCGAAGGTGCCTCTTGGCCCAGGTCTACCACAAAGTGTGCAGACCTGCGGTGCGGCCACCATTTTTGGAACTCAACGGGAATTGGGAAGTGTCGAAGACATTCAAAGACCTTGGGAGTTTCCATGGAGGTTCTGTCAAATCAGAATCTGAGTGAACCATCAGTCCAACCCGTTTCACCATGAAGGCAACATCAGCGGATGCTTGAGGGGGGGTGCTAGAATGTGCTAGATGCTCTTCCAGCTGGCGGGGAGAATGTTTCACTCACACTAATTTGTGCACATCTGACTCAATAACACTGCGCAGTGTACTAGCAGTGTATTCTATAAAATGCCATACTGACTGGGCCGAGCTATCAAAAGGTCAAGAAACCTGCGAATTTCCTTTGAATGACAATTGGCTCATATTGGCAATTGGTTCATATCCAGTCTCACACCAGCATGCTAATTAATTAGTTTGCATACCTATGTTGCAGTGTTGTATGAATCCTTTCACACCAGCCTGACCGGTCCAAAAACGAACAGAAAACCCTTGCAAACTGCCCCATCCGCCGATCCAAACGGGTCAAGACCGATCTCCAACGCGCCTGCCACGTTCCATCTTTCGGCCGCGGCACAAGGAGATCACATCCCCCTGCCGGAGCGCCTCGCGACTGCCTGAAGTGGGCAATTCGGAAGGCAGGGGGGCAGTCTGGACCTGCTTGGAGCTGAAGTTGGATGGGATAGAGAAATACTAAAACCAAAACAGAAACAAGAAAACAAGGACCATGTGTTCATAAGTCATAATATGTACCAAGTGCTTTTGGATGCGCAATTCGATCAAGAATACAACCCCAAGTTGACGCCGACCACATCATCGGGGAGGTGAGTTGTTCACGAGTTCCGTGGGTTTTCAACTGTGACAAGACAGTTGTGAAGTGGAAAGTACCCAAGATATCCTGGGTACTCATGTTTGAACTATAGTGCTTGAAGTGGAAAGTCCAAAAGTGAGTGGATTCATTCAAAATTATCTTCTTGGAGACTCATGAACTAGTAACTAGATCCCCCACCACTTGGCGACGCTGCCAAGCCTGGTGCTAGTGGCAGCTCGTTCAGGAGGCAATTCTCTGTACCCACGTGCCTCAAATGCAAGATGCCCGCCTGGGGAGCCAGTGCGATCGTCGGCGCGGCTGGGGAGCCTGGCTCCAAAGCAAACAGAAGTTTCCAAGGAAATCCCAGAGGCACAAGCTTGTACTTGGCACAAGCTTGGAAATCGGGTCCTTCGGTCCTTCGCAGCAAACCGTGCTTGGAACCGTGTCCTTGAAACATCGACAGAGAGGTCACACTGCTTTGTTAATGGCAAGTTTGACCAAACACTCAAGAGGCTCAAATGGCTGAAAGGGGTGATCATCTAGGGCCCAGTCATAGAGCCTTCGAAAAGCAAGGTCCATTCCCATGTACCAAATGTTAAACAACCCTATTATATTATGTACTTATAGAATATTTTGTGGAAGTCGGAAGTAACATTGAAAGATTGCAAAAACCATCTAACTTGTTTCGGAAACTTCCCAGAAATGTTGAACTTGGGTGGAAAATTATGCAAAGCAACACCATGTCACTCCAGCTACCCTTAGCAGGAGGAACAAATATTTACCATGTCCATTGTGGCTTCATGCAACATCCCGACACCAGAAAACTGCTGGCTGGCTGATGTAATTACGAAGCACTTCAGGTATGCACAACTGGCTGATCATTCTCAACGAGGTCTACAGCCTCCCGCCTCATCGCGTTCCACAAGTGCTGTAGCATCACCTGGGTCAGGTAATAAAGGACATGGAGACGAAGCAAAAACACACGACTCCGAACCCAACCTGCCAACCCAACCTGCCCCAGTCCCGTGCACTTGGTGACACAAGGTGACTCCAACGGCAGTTCCACCCAGGAAACGCCACAAGCGTCGTGCTCTGCCACCAGGTCACGTTGCTCTGCCACGAGCGTGGCCCTCCACGCGCGGTACGCGGGCCCGGTGCCCAGGCAGGTCACACCGTCCAGGAGATGCTCCGGATCTGGGCGATGCCTGGAGAGCAAGAGGACGCTACGAACGGAGCAAGAACGCTACTAGGGGCTCCTGGCATCGCTACGAACGGAGCAAGAACGCTACTTAACACCCGGCGACTTGCTGACATCACCCAAGGTGATGTGATGATTGTCCGTGGGAACTGTAGTTCATCTAGCTCGTTTTGCAGATCTCCTAAAGGTTTGGCGAACACTACGTAGTTTGAAACATGTTGAGCCCTGGAACTAACCTCATCTTCCTTGTAGGCGCACACAAAACATGTGACTTGAACACGTTTGAAAGTGGAATGATTGCTAAACCTTAAGCCATCACCACCTTGAAGGAGAACATGTTCTTGGATTGGGAAAGGATGGGCATGGAACATGATTTCCTGGACCCTGTTGTTATCACTTTGATGCTTTGCGAAGCGACAGCCGACTACTCCTTTCATGGGGCAAATGAGCGGTGAACATATAAATCCATGCCCAAAACGGTCCCAAATTGCATTGGGTCTTAAATACTTGAAACAGTTGCGTGATGATATGTGATAATGTTTGCGCGCGCATGTTTACCATACACAGGTCCCAATTCCTCAACCCATGCGAACATGTACAGGAATCCTAAGTCTGGGCAAAGTTTTGGATAGAGCAATCTTGTTGAGGCTACCTTGCTAGGGACAATGCGCTTAGTTGGTTGGGGTAAACCCACAAACAAATCAGGTGATGGATTGCCCTGCTCTCAGCTTAAGCCTAGAAAAAACGCACGACAAAGTCTCATTGGTACATAAAACAGAAACAAGCCCAAAGTGGCCCACACTCTGATGGCCGCCATCATCATCCGTGCCGCAAGTGCCGCCTGCCGCTCGCCTGCGGCTCGCCGAGTTGCAAAGGGATCAACCTGGCGCCAACCGTTGGAAGAGGCTCCGGCGAGTCCGAGAGCTGCAAGCGCCAGGCCAAAAAGGCGACCTGGAAGGCCGTGAAAGGCCGCCACTGGACCGGGGCGGAAGGGGGGCCCTGTGGGGCAAAGCATTTGGAGAAGGGAGATGAAGTGAGCTGAAGTGAGGACAGTCATCATCTTTCGAAATGACTTTGGGAGGGTATCTCACCACACTGGTCCGCCGGTCACCATTCACTCAACCCCATCTCTCTGTGTGGGGATAAAGAAGTTGAAGAGTATTCTCCATGATCCTTTTTCTTGAGAATTGAAGGTCTGCCTTCGACGGGCTGGAGGGAACACACCAGCAGTTTCAGTGAGTGGAAACACGTCGCCTGATGGTTTTGGACCATAATGCCTGCATCTTTGGGCTCCCAACCCTTGAGCCTCCGGGTCTCTTCTCCCACAAAGAACGTTGTTTTTCCCGAAATCTATTTTGGGTTGGTCACTGCTGGCCTGGAAAGTCTATGCACCAAAAACGGCTCAAAGAGTCACCAACGGCGAAAAAGCCCACATCTTCATCCAAAGGCGCTCGATCACGAGGCGATTTGTCCCTTTCGTGGCTTGGAATGGCCAGCACATCGCTGCCTTGGGCGATGCCGGGCCCGGGCGCCCTGTAGCTTCTTGTTTCAATTCTAATTAAATTCTAGTTATATACTTTTAATTCTATGTCTAATTATTGTTTCTAATAGCTTCTTGTTACTAGTAGTAAGGCCAGGAGCCCCTAGTAGCGTCCTTGCTCCTAGTAGTGACGCCCTTGCTCCTAGTAGCTTCTCAACAAGGTTCATCATGGTTCATCTGGTCATTGACTTTCGCTCCATGATGCCTTAATATGCCTTAAGAAATTAGAAACTGAGCCACCCTCAGGTTTTGAGGCGCCATTTTCTGATCGGTGATTTCTCCCAAGTGTGCAAAACCATGTTGACTCTGACGTCTACTCTGTTTCCGTCAGTCTCATAGGACACATCCACAAAGGTCGCCGCATGTGGTCGAAACCCGGCCAAACATCAGTCAGCGAGTCTATACGACCGCATCAAAACCTCTTGTTACATGGCATCGTTCTTTGGTCACGCTGGCACGTCCTTTCCTGGTCACGCTGAAGGTAAATATGTGTTCCTTTCGCAACGAACCCATCCACAGTCTTGGACCCCACAGATCTCAGGCGCTTTGGAGCTCAGCTTGATCTCCCGGACATCGCCACTGCGAGAAGAGCAGCATGGGATGGCCGCTGACCACACGTGCAACGAGCCTCCGGGCTACTATGGTGTTTGGAGGGCAAAAGAAGTGATTCTGAACGTCACTTGGGGGTCAATCGGGTGATTTAAAGGCGCTCGGTTTTGGGCAAAAACAATTGCAGGCTGTAGACTTCATGTGCAGAAGTAGCCTGAGTGGGCCGTAGCCTAAGTTGTGAACCTCTTCACTTCGTGGCATTTCACTTCGTGGCATTTGGAAAAAGACTTGGATAGACCCGCTTCTTCTACCAGAGCAAACAAGATTTCTTCTCATTACAACGGCTATGCTTGAATACGGACCCAAGTGTTTTTTCCTCCATCGGTAATACTCACCGCTTGGAACCAACGGATGCAAAGCATGTTGCCTGTATTGAGCAAATCGCCGTGCTGGACGACTATATCAGCCGGACTATACATCAGTCTGGCTCTGTGTGGAAGTAATTGGAAGATGACTGGGCCAGAAGACCGAAGCACCTTTATATGTATATATATATATACATCAGTGTGGTCTATGTCCTTCCTGCGGATTGGCGACTTGATCCATACCGTTTCATGCCCGCGCCGCACATGTCGACATGACAGTTGTATGGTTGTTTATATGGTTTTAAACGCCCATGATATCTATCGCTCATGAGCTCATCTCCTCACAAATCGTCCTAGCAATGATAAAAGAATACAAAAGAATAGGAATCAAAATGGCAATCTGAGATCCCAAGCCAGTTCATGCTCGAGGATTTCCATCATTTCGAACAGCACGGCAAATACTGAAGTCCACCTCGTTGAAATCGTCTAAGTCGACCCACCACGAATCCTGCGAACTCGCGCCTCGAGGTGCTTTCGAGCTCGAACTCCAGCTGCTTTTGGGAGCAGCTTGGGTGATCCAGCTGGAAAGTGCAGCATGGCAAGCGACCCAAGGTGCCCTGGCAAACAAGCTGTGTGAAGCGATTGGACCACATCCGCGCCAAAGTCAATTTTCTCATGACATCTGATGACATATGATGACTGATCACTCTGTGCACTCCTGTGTTGTTGCTCAAGATCCCATCAAACGACTATGGCGCTTATAGTGTGATGTGCCAAAATGGGTCATGACGAACGGTCTCGATGGGTTGAAGTCAAAAATCTGAGACTTTTCCTCATGCCCTAGGCTCACACTTCCCTTGCCTTAGTGAAACAAACATTTTAAAATATAACGTATCAATACAAAACTAACATGGCCCTCATAACCCCCGTGTTCTGCCGGAATAAACCCAATTCTCCATCTGACCTTGCAGCCGGACCGAGTTGATCTCTTGACGATCAGCCCAGCGTCACAAAAAGGGGATGTCAATCAAGGGATGTCTCCATCACAACAAACAGAGGTTGAAGAACCCTATAGACTATCCCATAGGTACCCCAATTGGATCCTATAAGGGCTATAAGGTCACTTACTTAACCTCTCGATGTCGCGATTAGCGATTTCTTTTGGGTCCGGACCCGAATGTGTTCATGCAACCAGCTCCGCAGCGAGTAAGTTGAGGCTCCGAAGACTAAGACAAGCCATCTGAAGCCGTCTTTACAAAACCGCATCCCAAGTCTTGCTGGTCGTCTTGAATTTCAATAAATTTGATTAGGTTATGCTTAAAACATACTGGAGTTACTAGAACTATAAACATATTTATGGACGCTCAAACACTGCTTGAACGTATAGAAATTTCCAGCATCCACTACACTCGCAAAATACTTGGATGCCCTGTCGCATCCTTTTGACGGGTGAACCATGGTGACACCGATGGCGCCCTCCAGCCTTCCACGGCATTGCCAGATCGTCCAGGCAAATATGGAAGCCATGAGAATGCGTCAAAGGAACCAGGTGCAAATACCTGGGATCACATCAACCAGCCCAGGTCAACTGTTTGTTGCTGGTGTTTTGCTGATCTCTCACACACACATTGTGCCATGTTGCTTTTTGTTTTTGATAGACTGTTAACATCTGCTAACTAAATCTTATGGGGAGCATTAACAATTGACAAAGAAAAACTATCCGTCAATCCAGCTCACATTTGTTCGGCATGGGCCATGCGCTATCGAAAGGAACCTCAAACCCTCCTTTTCTGGGACAAGAACGGACGATTCTTTTTCAACCGAGAACTCTGCAGAACTCGCCGTTTGAAGCATGAAAATCATGATTTCGCTGTAACAGAATTCTGCGCGACACTCTCCACCCTTCGACGTCCATCTCACCAGTCTCGCGCCGTCTCGCGCGTCCATCTCACCGGTACCATCCGCCGGTGCCTCGACTCTGTGATCTCCACGGGCACCAGCGGTGGCGGCAAAAGCTCGAAAGAGCTCTCGAAGGAGCTTCGCGCCGGATGCACCAGGGGTGTCGCGCCTGGGGTGATTTGGGGTGTGTGTGATTTTGCTGAAGATGATGGTGGTGTTGCCTCCCAGAAAGTGAAATGAAGTTAAGGATGGAAGCCGAAACGGGTGGAAGAGGCCAAGTTCAGTGTGGTGAACTGAGAGACTGATCTCCGAATTGGCACTTAGCGGGAATCGCCGCTGGGTCCTTGGCCCTCAAACAACATCAAACGACTGCCTTTTGGGGAGACCGAAAGGAATCGGAGTAACCGGTTTAGGTTCGCTCCAGAGAACACACAGCTGTTGCCACCCTGGCACCACCTGAAAGCAGACATTCTTCGACCCGGAAGTTGCAAATGGATGCACTTGGCCAGGTGGATGCCTAATCGGTGGTTTGGGTTGGTGCTCTGGATGGTTTTCTGTTGATTTCTGGCCTTTCTCCAAATCCATCCGCGCAACCGGCGTCATGCTGCCCAGCGGCTACAGCCTGTATCATCCGGCACCCCCGTCGAACCCGTGGCGAGTCCTGCTTGCCAGCCAGCTGACGCCGGCAGATACGGCCGTCAATTCTAATTTACTATGATTCAGGAGGCCGGTTCCAGCGGTTTAGAGAAAAATACATCATACTGACAGATCCCTCTTGCAAAGTGACAGCATGTGACTCCGATGCTTACTGTGATCACCTCTACTTATATGCTTGATGTTCATCCTCCACTTGACTCAGGTTTTGGGATACCCATATTTAACAATTACGTTGAGATACATATTGAGTCATATCATATCCAAGCGACATCATACTTCCAACACTGAACTCTTCACAGCATTTTCAGGGCTCAGCGATGTTCATCTGGTTTCCCTCCCGCGCTTCGCCTTCGTTTCGCCCTCGGGGTCCTCGCCTGGTGCACCCGAAGGATGCGTCGGCTTGAGCTCCACATCCTGCGCTTCGGCGAGGAATCCGGCCTGACCGGTCGCACAAAGGTGTCATATGGTTTCCATCCATTGGATGTGTGGTTTGATCTCAAGCTCTTTGGACTTTGAGCCATGGTTTTCATGTTTTTTCCTTTCTTTGGGGTATCCAAAAAAACAGATGGCCTTACTATGGCCTTATCCTGTCTGAACTTGGAGGTGTCCTGCTGATGAACGTGTTAGTATTCCAGACGTGTTTGTGGTGGAGAGGTCGCCTTTTGGCACCAAGTCTTGGACGCTTCGGTCTGGGATCATCTTAGCTGATTTTGACAACAAGATCCCCACAAGAACCGCTGGAGAACGACCAAGTCGCTGCGAGAACGACCCAAGTCTTGTGACCCCAAACTCTCCAGACATGGCTGTGGGTCTTTCAACCAGGAGACAACCTGGTTGACCACCAAAAATGAATGGAATAGACTACCTACCAGGGTTTCGACTCACCTTGCAGGTGCTCCTCATCCGCCGCCCGAAGCATTTGCAGGAGCACCTGCGCATCGGTGAGATTGCAGTCACTCACAGGACTCGTGGCCAGTCGACCGGCCATGCAGTCAAAAGATGGATCGGGTTCACAAGCTGAAAGAATATGTTTGTACAGGAATCTGTTTGTTGCCACTTCAGGAAATGATTCCAATTATGTTGAAACAATTAGATTAGATTCACATGTGATCAACTATGCTAGTATTGCTATAAATGACGATTAGCATAACGAGCATCATCACTAGCAGCACAGCATACAAAGCTTCTGCATGTAGAGCCAAATTTCAATCAAGAAATACACTGGCTGGGCCAATCAAGTATTCTTTATAAATAAAACATCTAGTTCAGAAAGTGGTCATTAAGGAACGCGTTTGCAACCAATTGTAGCGCATGCTGTCAATCTTCAACTGCCTTTCATCAAGCAAGCAATTCAAACGATGGTAGCTTGGGACCAAACAAAGCGCGACCAGCGCCGCTAGCGCGCAGCGTCCCGTCATGAACTGCCTGCAGGGAGCTGCTGTGATGCGCTGCGGCCTCCGAGGCGATGAGTGTCATCTGCTCCTTGCTTCAGTGGAGCAAGCGTCTGCGGTGATCATCACTTCGAAGAGGCGAACTTCAAAAAGATCACATGTGGAAAAAAAGTGTGAAACGCAGCATTGGCAGTTCTACATTTACTTATCTATAAATCATGTTCAAACATCTTCACAGCGTGAGCCCCAAAAAGTCACTGAATCAACCCTCAAGCGGCCCGTTTCGGCGGCGTGGAAACACCCCGTTTCCACCTCCATCTCTTTCCGGTCCATCTGGTCTCCTGCCACATATGAGCTCGCTCTCGACTTTCTTCTGACTTTTCAGCCTCTGCGCCTGGCTCTCCGCATGTTCGCGGAACGTGCGGAGCAAGGGTGACAGCCATTCACCTGCATTTCAGTATATATATATATAAGCCATTCAGGTGATAGCCAGAAGGTTTCTCAAGATATCCATGTCCAACTGAGCAGAATCATCTTCATTGTGCTCATGTCTTCGCAGCTTTGATTTACCAATGTGGGTTTGTGAAACTGATTTCTGGGTCTGTCGCATCATGACTGCGACGCTCCATCTATTCGCCGGAGTCTCATTGAGCAAGATTGCTGGACTCACTCTTTGTCAACCCTAGAAAGGTGTCCCACCCAAAGGATGGTAGGGTATGCTGGAGGCCATCGCCCAAAGGAGGATGGTGGGGTATGTTTCATCTTGAAGCACTTGCAGAATGGTCGACATCCCTCAGGAGGCCCATCCAACTCTCCAGCTCAGGAGTTTTCGGGAAGTGCTGACAAGCTTGAAATCATCAGGAAAATGTTACAACTTCATCCGGTTCACACAGGTAGACTCAGCCATGTTCAGACTCGAGAATGTGGCTTATCAGATTCAGAAGTAGAGCGTCTGAAGTGGACCGGACAGCTCGCCGCGAAGAACACAAGACATGCGAGACATGCGAGACATGCGCCAAGTCATCCGTCAGCCTTCGCCGAGGCCAAATGCGACTTCAAGTGGCAAGGCCTCGCAAGGCGTTCGCAGGTCGAATTGACAGGCAGCACCACAATTCCACGAGCCAACTGGTGAAGCCAACCAACTTCCTTACTTCACGTTTGAGAGTCCATCAAAATCTTCACAAACCCAGCTCTGTTGTGAGATGAGCATGCAATTGAAATTGGTTGCCGGTTGAGATATGGTTGAGATGAGCCCCTCTTGTTTTCCCGACCACCCAACGACCTCCGACCTCGCTGTTTCGTCGCTTACCAAGCTGCTGGATACTCCTTCGGCACGCGAAGCTGGAGTCGATGGCGCTGAGAGTGGAACTCCAACTGCGGTGGGCGATGCCAAGAGGTGTCTGAAAGGAATACACCCTGGAAGACTGACTAACATGGACCCTGAAAACATCTGAAAACCACTGGTTGGTAGAAAAGAGCCTTTTTTTTGGGGTCCCATTTGACCTGGGTCCATGTTAGCTTAGCCTTGGACGTGTAGCCTTGGACGTGGCTCCAAATAGGTTAGAGGCCATCGCTAGTAGGTTGTAGAAAATGGATCTTTCTCTGGCCGGAGTCGCTCAAAGTAGAGTCTTGGGACTTCGATGAGGATGTCGATGAGTATGGTTCATACCTTCGGCTCCTGAATATCATGGATTGGATTTTGCTTGAACCCCCCGGCAAAAGTTATGCCCCTGTATCACCCCGCTACAGGAATCCATGGGTGTAAGTGAACGTCACTTTGAGTCGCACAACATGTGTTTTTGACTTGGTACATGTCAGCCTTGCGATTCATCGCAACTCTTAGGCTCACGAGTTGGCTCCTTGTAGGAAAACCGGTGCGAGCTGTCCCCACCGGCATGGTCATGACCCCAAGCCTGTTTTGATATTGGTGCCGCGGAGCGTGCTGGCTACGATCCAGGAAATATGCCCCCAAAACATAGGATGTGGCAAGCGAGGTCGCCTGAAGGCTTAGCTGCTGAAACTACGGGAGTTTCGAGCCAGGTGCCTTCAACCTCCTCGCCTTCCCAAGGCCTAGATGCATGGGCCGCTTGGCGGGAAACGCATGGTGAATCGGCTGAACAAGCCGATGATGATGGATACTATGACCCCGCATGGGATGCTGGGTATGAAGAAGAGCAATGGCATGATGACCAGTGGCTTTACCACAGCTATGGAGGGCCTCAACAAAAGGCCACCAGCTCTGGATGGAATGACACCGACTGGGAGGGCAGTGGTGCTTCAGCTGCCCAGGGCTGGTTGAGCGATGCCCAACTTCGTGACTTCAACACGGCATCCGTGCAGAGGATGTCGGCCATGGCTGATGGGAAATGGGCTGGCTCCTTCAACCTTGCCGGTGAGTACGGTGGCTATGCCTGGAGTGGAGAAGGAGCCCCTCAAGAGAAGCAGACGGAGCGCTTGAAGGTTCCGTCTTTTGATGGTGGCGGAGATGGTGATGACATCGGCAAGTCGGCAAGGTCCTACGTTCGAAAGGTCCAAGTATGGCTGAGGTGCACTCGCATGCCTCCTCGGCAGAGAGCCTTGGCCCTTTACGATGCCCTGACCGATAAGGCTTGGGTCTATGCAGAAGAGCTCGATGTCGACATGCTAGGTTCCGAGTATGGTGTCCCCTACTTTTTGGAGTGGGTGCAAACCCGCTTCATGGAGGTGGAGGTCTCCAAGATCGCGCAGATGATGAACGACCTCTTCCGAAGGACCAAGAGACGGCATGACCAGAGTGTGAGAGACTTCAATTTGGAGTTCGAGAGGATGGTCCTTCGACTGCACGAGATCAAGTGTGAGTTGCCCCCACTGGTGAAAGCATGGCTCTACGTGGACAAGCTTCGCCTCTCCGAGCAGGAAGAGGTCGCCTTGCTTGCTTCGGTGGGCAACGAGTATGACGTCAAGAAGTTGCAGCATGCAGCCCTGGTCCAAGATCGGACCTTGAGAAAAGGGGGGACAGTTGAGCTCTGGCGGCCCGGTGCCTCAAAGGGTCGCTTTGCAGGGCGACAGCAGACAGCACATGTCACTCAGGCAGACGCCTGTTCTAGTGATGAAGACTTTGGGGCCCCACATGATGCCGCTAGCGATTCCTCCATGGTGGTGGAGGAAGGAGTCGCCATGGAGCAGCACACTGCCTTCATGACCTACCAGAATGCAAAGATGAAGTATCGTGAGGCCATGAAAGGCCGTGGCACAGACCCTGAGGAGTTGCGACGACGCTCCGAAGAGAGATTGAAGTTAGCCAAACAGAGATCGTATTGCAGTGCTTGCAAGCGCCGTGGCCACTGGCACAAAGACCCCGAATGCCCCCTTCGCCGAAGTGGCGACGGAGGACCCGGGGTTCAAGCTTCACAACACGCTCAGGTATGCCACACGGTGCAGCATTGCTACATGGTGGAACCCCTCGGTTACACGACCTCTGACCTCAAGGAGGCTGGACGGCTGAAGGCAATTGTAGACACGGCCTGCACGAAGTCCGTTGCAGGCTATGATTGGTTTGAAAAGTTTTGCACTTTGGCCGACACTCACGGCTTTGAGCTCAGGATTTGTGAGGAAGTAGATTATTTCAAGTTCGGTGCCTCCAGAGTGCACCGATCTGCTTTTTCAGTGTGGATGTGGTTTGGCTTGGCTGGCAAGTGGATTGCCGGCAAAATCGCCATAGTGCAATGCCCTGTGCCCCTGTTGCTGAGTCGACCTGCTTTAGCCCAACTTGGCATGACTTTTGATGTGGCTGCACAGCAAGCCACCTTTCGAGCGGTCAATTTGGAAGGACTGCCCCTGGCTCTCAGCGAGACAGGACATCCTGCCCTAGTTGTCGATGATTTTCCAGTTGGTGCCCCTCCATGTTTGCCTGACGGCATTGAGGGAGCTGTTTGGATCCCGACGCCTGAGCAATACATGGTTGCTGACTCTGCTGCTGGAGGGGGCTTTGGGGACTACAACACGGTAGCCATGACCAACCTCTTTTACCCCAAGAAGGTCCCCCTCGAGGTCGAGAACATGTTGAAGGATGACACCTTTTCGGGTACTACCTTCTTCACCTGGTGGAAACACGCCAAGCAGAACAGAGATTTTTGGGTCGAGACCCCTCACGAGATGATCAGGATCCATGTCGTACCTCGCAACACTTTGTTTGAGCCCTCTTCATGGAAGAACTCCCAACCTCACCTGAAGAAGTCACTCCTCGGTTCGCTTCAAGGGGCTCGGTCGACAGAAGCAGTTTCATGTCTTTTTGATGGAGTTGTTTGCGCCCGATTCGACGATCGTCTTGACAGCTTTGGTGATGTTCATTTGCCTGCAAGCCTTGTGTCTCACGGTCCATGGATTGGCCGCAGCCGCTTTTTGAAGCACGCGATCGAGCACGTCCAAGTCTCCCACGGCTATGCCCAAGACCGCCACGTCCCCAGTGCAGTCGCCATGGAAGATGAAGAAGGCCGAGATCCTGAAGGAACTCAGCGAGACACATCAGGTGCCAGCCAGCAGCAGCTGGACAGTGCCGGAGCTTCGCACCATGCTCATCGAGTCTCGCCAGAGCCTCGAACCAAAGGCGCAGGCGGACCCCATGAAGGGCATCACCAAGTACAGCCTGACCGAGTCGATCGAACAGGCCAAGGCCGAGGGGATTCCCATGCCCCCGAAGCCGACAAAGGGCTGGTTGATCAAGGTGCTTCGGGAGTCGAGATCAACTCCGGCAGACACGATCGTGCCCTTCGGCAAGTTCAAAGGATGGCTCTACAGGGAAGTCCCTCGCCAATACCTTGCATGGGCTGTGGACGAAGTGAAGGCCAAAGGGGAGAGCGCTCATCCCGACCTGGCCAGGCTTGCCACTTGGGGTGCAGCGGAGCTGGAGCGGATCGACAAGGTGCTCTCTCCCACTCGCAACCTGGCCCGGGACCCGGAAGCCCTGGCGTCGGTGCCAGTACCTTCTCTGTCGGACATGGCAGCCTCGCAGAGCTCGGACAACTCGTGGGCCAAGGTGACGACCCCTCGAGCCAAAGCCTTTGCTCCGACGGCCCGTGCCCGGAAGGCCGGACACTCCGACATCGAGTTGATCGAGGACGACACCTACGACGAGGAGATCACAGCCCTGGAGGCGCGCCTGGCGGAATTGAAGCAGAGGAAGGGGTGACCTGCTCACCTCAGGAGGCCTCTCCTCTCCCCTCAGTTCATGATGAAGACAAGGGCGTCAAGTTTGGTGATGAGGCCGACTTGGATGAATTCGAAGACGCCCTAGATGGAGAGGATTTGTTTGACACCCATGGAGTTCTATTTTGTGACTCACTCCAATGGCTGGACGCCCGGGAGTACGAGTTTGACTATGAGCTGGCGTCTGAGGATGATGGCGTCAGCGGCTATGAGGACACTTTTGAATATGTCAGCGGAGGTTTGGACGACTTCCACACGGGTGGCCATGCCTTCTTGACGGAGGACACGCCGGGGAACTTGGAGTACTCCGACGACACCCTCCTCTATAAGGACGAAGGGGGTGGCAAGACCCCACGAGAAAGAGCCAAAGAAGGGCTCCGCCGACGACGGCGCATGAACCAGACCTCCTACAAGAAGTTCCAACAGCAGCTGTTCACGCTGTCCCATGTCTTCCTGGCGTGCACCGCGGCGGTCGGTGCACTGGCCCATGAGATCATCGCTGAACCCGCAACAGACTTGTGGAGGGTGTTCCAGCCCAGTCACTCGGCTTGGATGACCAACGACGATGACTCTACTGTCGAGTGCCTGGAACTGTTCGCTGGGCAGGCCCGCATCTCAGAAGCCTTTGCCAAGAAGAGAAGAGGGGTGCTGGAACCAGTGGATTTGAAATATGGCCATGACCTTCGAGACCCTCGCTGTCGCTCCTCGGTCGTCAGCCAGATCCGATCCCTCAGGCCCACGATGGTATGGATGGCACCTCCTTGCACTGTTTGGTGTGGCTTCTCCAACCTCAACTATGACAGACAGCAGAGGAGGCGGCTCAGAGCTAAAGAAAAGCCTTTCCTGGAGCTCATCGATGAAGTCATTGTTGAACAACATCGGCACGGTGGCTTCGCCGTGGTCGAGAACCCCAAGACTAGCGCCATTTGGCAAGAACCAGTTCTGCAAAGGTGGGTGGGCGATGCCAACTCTATGCTCGCATCGGTCGACCTCTGTCGCTATGGCATGACTAGTGAGGGCGGCCACATTCCACTGAAGAAGTCTCTCAGTTTGCTGTGCACGAGCCGTACCTTTGCGGAGCAGATTTCCAAGACTTGTGACAGGTCACACGACCATCAACCCATTCAAGGCCGTGAGACCGCCCGTTCAGCTGTCTACCCCACTTCGTTTGCCAACGCCGTCGTGAGGGCTT